ATTGTATTTATAAGGTTTTTGCATGCTATTTAACTTTTTTTATTTTTGTTTATTTATTTATTTTTTTTTTTAGTGCAATAAACCCATTTGCTTTAAGCGCGAGTGGTTTTAAGTTAGGACTTCTGGGCAAAAATTTCTGTTTCGTTTTGCTTTTTCATTATTTTTATAAGTTCTCTTTTCTTTTTCCTTTTGCTTATTTCTTATGTTGTAAAAATAAATTAAAATTTTTTTAACGGCGATGACTTTTTTCTTATAATTTCCATAAGCGTTATTTTTCTTTTTGTAATTTTGGATTTTTTACAGAATTTTCATTTGTTTATTTGTTTTTTTTTTTTTTTTTTGTTATATTTTTATTATTTTGTTTATGTTTTATTTTGTATATTGTTTTGCTGTTTTAATTTTTAATAATTTTTTAAAATATTTTCAAAAAATTTTTTTCTCACCAATAATTTTGTAAAGTTTTAGTGAAAAATGAAATTTACAAACATCGCTAGCACCGGATGGCCATTTAGAAGCAGAAAAAGTGACGCTGTATATTTCATGTTCGCATGATTGCTTACATTGACAATCCGTCAAACTATCCCTAATGTGATGAAAATCACCGATTTCCGCAATTGTGCGTTCCAAACAACCTCCTATAAAATGAGATTAAAATTTAATTTAAAATACATTTAATCTAATGCATCTATTAAAATGGAAAATTAAAAGAAAAAATTAATTATAGACATCATTTTGTCACTAATTTTCTTTTTCTTTAAAAGAAAGGTAATTTAATTATTACACGAATTGACTTACTTGTTGTAGCATTAAAAGCGGAGCAATGTATTTTTCCTTTCGGAACTGGAAAACGTGGATCACCACAACCACATTTATTAAGCAGTGTGTTTTGAAAGCAACTTCGATGACATCCCTGTCATTTATATTACGACAATTAATAAAAGATAATTTATAAAAAAAACAAAACAAAAAAAAAAAAAAGATAAAAAATAAACGATGATAACAATAGTATAAAAAAATATTTTATTGATTGGTTTTAAACTTTTTTAAAATATTTTGCTGCTTAATAAAAGATTGAATATTTACAGTAAAATGGATAATGTTAAGATATAACTAAATTACTTCCGGATTGTAGTCATAACCGCCATAAATGTAAACATTTGAATTCATTTTTTTTTCTCGTTGACAATCACCATATGGTGCAGATAATCTTTGGACAACGTGCTAGAAAAATTAATATTTTACTGTAAAAACGAAAAAAAAAAAAAGTAAAACCTTCAAAATTTGATCAATCTAATGAAAAAAAGAATAAATAGGAAAAAAGTATTAAAAAACCGAAAATTTACCTTTTTCAAACCAAATGATGAAGCAAAACCAACAGGTGCACTATAACCAAAAGTATCGGGAAACGGAAAATCCGTTGGACTATGTATTGCTAATCGTACTCCTGAAGCTTCCGATGTTGCCATATAATCTGATGTATTCACAAATAATAATAATCGAATTCCTAAAAGTAAAGTAAAATGATTTATTGTCCAAAATTGTTCACACTAATTGCATTTTTGCAATTAGTTTTATTTTTATTGAAATTAATTTTATATAAATTAAATTAGCAATAATTTTATATGGCAATGTATGTTTGTCATAATATTGATTATATTAAGATATGTAATTCTTTCTTAATTAGTCTATTCTTTTCTAATTTTTAAAAGTAATCTGTGTTAATTTCGTTTTAGTCAGGTGATCTGTCTTCATTAGATAATTTTATAATTAATTAAATTGTATTACTAACCATACATTGGACCAGCTTTACTGCTTGAATGATTATTATTTACATCCCAATTGAATGTATAGCAATTCCCGAATGCTGGATCAACATGCAGTTTAAAATCAGTATCTGTAATATTATTCTTGTTAATCCGGCTTTCAAAATTTTTATGTTCATGTTTATCCGGTTTTCCCGAATTACTTTCACAAGAAATAAAGAAATAAATATGCTTATTTGTACTAATTTCGAAGCATATTATCATCAGTGTTGTTATTTCTATTTGATATTTTTATTTAAAAAGAGAGGAAAAGAAAAAAAAAATATTAGCATTTGTTATTATGAACATTGTCAGAAAATTTTTACTTTATTAAAAAATAAATTTAAAAAATTTATGAGAAATACAATTTATTAGAGAAATAATACCAATATTGCATTCTTTTCCATCAAATGAACACATTTCAATGAATTCACGTTTCGATTGTGACAGTGCAATTCGTTGTACTTCTGATAATGCACTCATCGTAAAAATTAAATTTTCCTTAGCACGTGTCAACATAGCTACACCATCTGTCATACCCTTTAATTAATTGCACATCTAATTATGTCATTCATATTTCTCATCAAAAAGATTATATTTAAATTTTCAACGAATAAATACGCAAATAAATTAATTAAGTGGCAATATGACAAATTTCAATTTTAATTACAACAAATTTATTTATCTAATGTTTCACCTTATTCAACGTTCGAAGACATTGCGGTTTCTTGAGCCAAATTATTTGAGAAATTGTTACAGTTCAGATAATCTTAGGTTATGAGCTAATTAAGTCAATCTTTTATTTAGTAGGCAATCCGGATAATAATCTTTAACTTAGAAGACAATCGGATGATCTTTAATGATTCATATCAATGAAAAACTGAAACAATTATATACCGTAAAACCCATTGCTTTGACAGTTTCTGGTTCAGTAACACGTGCTGATTGTTTTGGCGCTGTTGTCGTTGTCGTTGTTGTTGTCTCTTTGATTGTTGCAATTGTTGTTGTTGACAGATACAATTTCGTCGCCCACAGTTGTTTCACTTCATTCAACGTCCGAAGACAGTGCGGTTTCTTGAGCAGAATCAAGTTGGGCTAATATGTAACTAACAAATTTACATAACATTCATTTTACCGTGTTATTAGCATATTTCATTAGATAAACAATAAATTCACTTCAAAAGAAAACACAAATCAAAAAAAAATTTTTCCTTTTAAACACACTAATTTCCATAAAAGATGAAATCGTTTCACTTTTTTAATTTTTAATCTTTAATCATTAATTTTATTAGAAATTTAATTAACTAATATATCCTCTTGTACTGTAAATTAACTTGTTTAAAATTTACTTTGTTTTGTTTAATAAGAAGCGATAGTTTGGCTAATTTCTCAGTTAAAGAGAAAACTTGTATATGAATTAAATTTTTGTCATGCTTAATATTTGCAAATATTGAAATAAAGTAGTATAAATTTCATTCTTGAATTTAAAAATTTTCAACTCCCTTCTTCGTTATTAATCATAGCAGAAATATTAATAGGAAACTGTACGCAGTATTTAACCAAATATAACTTTTTCTTAAAATTAATGTGATAATTCATGCTATCGTCTTTATTATCTAAAATAGAACTTGGAATTTTCAATTCTATTTTTTAATTTAATATTATAATGAAATAATAGTTTTTTGATTTTGCGAAAGATATTTTATGAATGTTTACTTCTAATTTCTTCCATTCTCTCTCATTTCAAGCAGAAATGATTTTAATCCAAGAAAAGATTAAATGATTAACTTTAAAAGCTTTCCAAACGCACACTTAAATGGGTGAATGTAGGCTCGTGGAAAGCTTTTAAATGAATGAATGGAATACGAAAGTTTTTGATTAGGAAATTTGGTGCAAAAATAAAATTACACTTTTATTTCCGATTTTGATGCATTTTCTCATATAAAATCAATTATTCTACTTTTAGCTATCTGAGAGCCACTTGATTGAGTTATTATTTTAATAATCCGAAAATTTGAAATATTATTAAGCTTAGTAATTACACAGATGATCTTTTCAATTTTTTGAAAAGTTAAAACAAAAATTTTTGCTCTTTTTTAGCTAGCTTATTTTTTCTGTTTTTATACTACAAAATATTATAACTCTTCTATAATTTTACAAAACAACTGCTACACAAGAATTAATTAAAACCTTAGGAAATGTCCAGCATATTATATATTCCCTGAATATATAATATAACAACATAATGACAGTAATTAAATTCTCCAGTTATTTGAAATGATACGTGTAGTAAGTAATTTGTCAGCGGCAATTAAATTATCCAAATATCAATAACAAAATTCAGTAATTAAATTACCAAAATATTTAAGACATTTTAATTAGTGATAAATCTTTTTCATGTATTCCACAAATAACGTTCAATTTCTTTGTTCTGACAAATTGAAGTCTTACTTTTATCAGCATTGTCACTGATTGACTCCTTGCATTCATTTCAAACAGTATACTGATAATGTATACCTTTGAGAATAACAGTTACAAAACATAAGAAATAGATTTTTATGATTTGAAAAGAATTGTTCATCAAAAATTTTAAAATGATAACCGGTAATGAAAGGGAGAAATGGAGAGAGAACGAGAAAGTTGTAAGAAAATTGTGATAAGTGTTAAATGTTGGCAGTTTCAAAGGAAAGTTTTAATAGAAAAAAAAAAAAAAAAATTAGCAGTAGCAAAAAAAAAAAATGCCTTAAAATACAAATAATTCATTGTATAAAATCCTTTCTTTTTTTCTTTTTCTTGTCAAATTTTTCCAGAAATTAGGTAATAACTATGGATAAACAACATTTAATTTGAAATATAACTAATCCTACTATATGTATGCATGAATAATTATTTACCAATATGAAAAGGAAAATTCATAATAATTCTATTTTCAAAATTTATTTTTAGAATTTTTTACTATCTTCGCATTAATTTCAGAATTTGGTGCTATAAATTATATTTTTTTAGCCTATAGTAGTTATCACTTAGTTATAAATAGCATATTTATAATATTATCGTTCAGTAAAATATTAAGAAAGCATCAAATTATGTTAGATTTTAACTTAATTAAATTAAAATGATATGTATAGTTGGAATATTTTATTTAAATTCAAAAAATTGTACAGTTGTAAAAAAAATGAAGAAAACAACAAGTAATATTTAAAATTTAAAGCTTACAGAATCAATGGTACGATTCCGACATAAACAAGGCCAATTAGAACTTTGAAATAGATAATTTTGTTTTGGCTCACAAAAACCATCCTCAAAACATATAATGCAATCTTCTTGATACCATATTCTAAAACAATACTATAATTTGATATTTTTTAAATTAGTAAAAAATACATTAAAAAAATAATGAATTAAATTTAAACAAAATATTGTTTAAATAAATTAGTTGATAATTGAATTAAACTTAAAAAATACCTTATTTTATTAACACCATATTTTCTTCACTATTTTAATTCAGATATGCAGAAATGCTAATTATAAATAATTTAACAAATTTTAATTGTAATTGATCGATTAATCAATAATATTTAATGCGAAAACAAAGAACAAACGATATATTGAAACACGGCCAAGCAATGTTCATTTCATTGTCATACGTACAGATGCATTTACTGTCATCAGATGGTGGCATTGATTCAAATCGAATACATTCCATATCTGATTTACCAATACATTTACAATGTGCTTCAATTGCTTCATATCGCATTGTCTCTGCCTCAATATTTAACATAAATGATTAAATTTTGAATTAAATTCATTGTCTATTTGAAAATATTATAACCTAACTAACAATCAAAAAATTATTAATTAAACTATAAAATAATAAAAAATGAAAATATTTCTACATAAATTAAAAATAATATTTAATCCCATCTTATTATAACATTTTTAATCATAGAATGATATTAAAACAAAAACCATAAACTTTTCATAAACAATAATGCTAAATTTTTTTAAAAAATTTTTTTAAGCTTATTAAACTGTAAATTAAAAAAAACCATCAATTAAAATTTTAAGTTATAATGAATTTATTTGAAGCTAAAAAAATAAATTAAATTTTTACATTCTAATCAAATATAACAAGCGTATTCATAGAAAATCACGGAATCATATTAATTACCAAATGTAAATTAACAATAAAGCAATTAATAAATGTTGAAGTCTTTAAGATAATAACTTTTAAATTATAAATTTAAAAAGAAAGGTAAAGAAATAATGATATTTAAATAGCTTACCATCCGTTTACTCCTTAGTACTGCTGCAGTTGCATCATTTACATTTATAATTGTTTTAATATCATTAATTAACGTATCATTCATATATGTCTGTGCATTAGCAAAATCACTACTGCTTGTTAGAGCAGCAGTTTTTGTTGCTGTTCTTGTATTATTAGTTGTTGTTATAGTATTATTTTTACTATTTATAGTATTGCTAATGAAACGGGTATTAGTTGATGATAATATTTCATCATTAATTTCATGAATTTTATTAGATTTATTAGTTATAGTAATATCATTATTTTTAAATAAATTATTTTTAACATTTCTCTCTTGTCGTTGTCGTTTTACATTTTCCAAATAATTAATGTTTAAATCATTGATCATTCTGCTGTCAAATAACTGCGATAAATGCTGTTTTTGATAATTAGATTGTTTACGAATAATACCAATTGGTAATTGTTGTTTTGTGCGAACTTTACGAAATGATTTCGCATTTTCATAAACATCCATCTGTAATTGATTTAATATTTTGCACAGCTAATAAGAAAAAATGCATTTTTCTTCAGATCAAAGATTAACTTCTTAGATCAATTAACCTATGTGCAAAGAGTGTTGCTCTCTTTTTTTGAATAATTAATTGATTGAAATATTGAATTTGTTTCTAAAATTTTCTTCAAAAAATAACTTATTTAAAAAAAAAGCATTGTTGATATTACAAGTGAAATTTAAAACAAAAGTTGCATGCAATTTAACATTGAAAATTTTTATTTTCATTTTAAATAAGCAACAATTATTGTAATCGAAACATTCAATAAATATACAAATGATATGTTTGGATGTAATAAAGTCGTTATCGCAAAAAGATAATTTTATGTTTGAAAAAAATTAAAAATAGAAATTTAGATATAACAGAAATGAAATATTATCGATTTTTTTCACCGGGAAAAAGATCATTTATTCATTATATTTCTATTAAAAAATAAAAATGTTTGCGATAAATTAATTGAGATAAGTTTTGTTTGAAAAAATTGAAAAGAAAAAAATCAAGCTCAGTGTCTTAAGCTTAATGTAGAAATGTTTGAAATATAAAAAATTGCATACAATCAATAAGTTTTTGTCTGACAAAGAATTTATATTTCTATATTTTGATTTTCTATTCTGTTTTCTTTTTTTTTCTTCCGTAAAATATTTTGTAAAAAAACTAAAATATGGGTACTTCAATAAAATTTTTTTTAATAGTTTAATTATGAATAAACGCATAAAGTTAATTAATTTACAGCTTTATATGTTTTCATTAATTTACACAACTAATAAAAAGCATACCGTATCTTTAACAGATTGTACTGATCGAATTAAACTTTTCTTATATGGATTCAAATTGCAAAATGTTACAGCAGGAAATTGTATATAATCAAATTTAAGCTAAAGCAAAAAATCTTTATTTTTTATTATTAAAAAAAAAAAAAAAAAAAAAAAAAACAAAACCAACAAATAAGAAATTTAAAGAAAAATGAAATTAAATTAAAATTAAAGAAAGGTAAGATAAATGCTATAATATCATATAATATGTAATTTACTTACTTCGATACTGGTAATTTTTTCATAACGATTAAATTTCATTACTAATTGATATGCTTGTACAATAAGTATAATAAAGCAAAGAATAATTCCAAATAACCATAATCGTGCAGTATATGCATTTCTAGCAATAAATATTCGTCGTACACCATGCGCTGTTGTATTTTCCGAGAAATTACGGATTTTTCTTATCACAATATGATTATTTTCATCAATTTTACGTTCTGACTGATAATGATATGGAATTGTATGACTATCATAGTATGACTGATAACATAATTCATTTAGTGGTCTGTTATATTTAAATGACAATTTTGATGGTTGAATATATTTCATATAACTACTAGTATAACCATCATGTCCTGATTCTGATGATTCCATGTATTCGCTGCAAATTAAATTAATAATTATTAATTATTTTGTATAAAAATTAAGTTGTTGGTAGGATGTAAAATAAACAAAAGAACAAAAAAGCAAAATTTCAATTAATTCCATTCTTTTTTTAGCTTAACTGAATGAATAGAAAATGTTATACTATGTTATAAAATGCATGATTGTAAGGATGGAAGGAAAAAAAAAATGTAAAACTAAAATAAATTTCACTTCATTCTCAAAGAAAAAAAAAAGAAACAGCCTTCTATGACAAATGTGATGCATTCAAATGCTAGGCTATTATAATGAATTGAAACATGAAATGAGACTTAATCCTTAAATTCTATCTATCAAAGAGAATAAATCGATATCATTGGTAGTAAAAGTAGTAATGAAAAAATTAACCCTGATAGAAAAAAAAAGAAATTCTGGGGGGAAACAAAGAAGAGAGAAAAATGAATGATATTTTCACTACAATTTTTTGCAATTAATTAGATAGATTTAGAAATTTTATAAGTTAAAGAAATGGAAAAATTTTTCACAACAATTTGATCCTTTTCATTTTTAAACAGATAGATTTCTTTTTTTGTAGGTAAAATTATTTGGTGCAATTAAGGGCAAAAATTAATACTTAATATCATTTCATTTAGATAGTAACATTAAATAATATTACATCTAATTATAATAAATAGATAAATACAACAAATAACTACAATAAAAAAGATAAAACTAGCAGTAATATATTATTTATAATTTGTTTTGCCAGCAATTTTGCCAAAAATAATATATTATACTTAATTTAAATGTAAATTTTATACAAATTAAACCCTGTTCTTACAGTAATTTGAAATGTAATAATGAAATGAATTTCGAAATGTTTATTAAAAGAATAACATTCAAATAATACGCACAATTTATCAAAAGTATGCTTAAATGAAATGAAACGAAAAAAAGAGCTAAACAAAGCAAATGTAATTTTTATTAAAAAGTGAAATTTTTTAGTCACTTTTATAATTTTTTTTAGCGTGATCTTCTTGAAAGTTAGATTTGATATTAAGGAAAGAAATAAAAATTTTTATCAAATAAATTAAAATTTTGGCACAAATATCAGTCACAATAATAAATAGACTGAAATAAAAAAATTCATTATCAAATTTTTTGAATGACATAACAAATATTTCTATAATTATTAATATAACTGAAAAGGGCAGGTAAAATAATTACACTAATTTGTTTTGGAAAATATACTATATCATTTACAAGGCAATAAGTATATTCTCATATCATTTACTAACTCAATAAGTGTAATTTCATATCATTTATCAAAACAGTAATTATATTCTTATATCATTTGCCAGACGAGTAAACATTAAGATCAAAAAAAAAGTATCTACAGTAAACAGTCTTGAAAATATTTTTAATATGTCAATATCGATGGTATTGTCACCTGTGATATCATCCAAAATTTCAATAGGATAAATAAATTTTTCGTATCAAAATTTTCTTCCTATCTTTTAAGTATTTTCATCACTCATATAATCAAACAATAAACTTCATGGTACTTATTGCATGAAAGAAAAAAAAAATTAAGCATTGATAAGAAAAGAAAAGAAAACAAAAAAAATTACAATTTTTGTTAAATTGAACAAATAAAAAAAGGTTGCATCAATGTTTTCATTAATTTTGGTAAAAAGTTTTTGTACAGAATATTGCAACAGATGGTTAAAAGATGTGGTAAAATTAATAATCAACCAAACAAAAAATGAAAAAAAAAATCGGGATAAAATATTTACTAACCATTGTTGATATGAAAGATTATCATTATTGTTTGGTTGATAATCATTGTTGTTATCATTATCATCATCAGATGGATCTGTTGTTGGATAAATTTGTGATGAAGATCGCGAATGAGATTGAGGTTGAGTGGTAGATCTTGAAGATGTTGTCATGAAGACACTGTTGGATAGTTGCTGTTGTAATCGTGATAAATTGTGGTGACGATGGCGATGACGGTAATGGTGATGTTGTTGTTGTTGTTGACGATGATGATGATGATGAGGATGATGGTGATTCTTCTTTGGATGAGATAAATTTATTGTTGACATTATTCTTTTTGTTTACATTTATTTTAATGTTATTATTATTTATAATTTATTTATTGATAAGAAAAAACGAAATATTATGTATTATTGTTGTTGCTATCTTATTTACTAATAAAATATTATTGTAATTATTAGTAATCTTATTATTATAGCTGCAAATTTGTTTTATTTTTTTGTTGTAATACAGAAGCAATAAGATTTGCGAACAATAGAATATTTGTACAAATGATTAATAGTATAAATAAGTAGCGTAGTGAATGCGTGAATATTTACGATAGTATTACACGTTTGAGCATTACACGTCGTTATATACCAATAATGACTTTTATAGACGAATAATTTTGGGAAAGAGCTGAAAATATATTTTTTAAAAAAAGAAAAGTAGGGAAGAAATATGACAAAATTACATAATAACGCGAAGATAAAATGATTAATAGATAGGTAAAATCATTAGTCATTAATAGGTAAGGTCATAAAATAATCAATGCTGTGCTAATTGAATTTCGATAATAAAAATAAATTCAATTACTATGAAGATTACGTTAATAAAATATTGATAAATGTTATAATGAAAGATAAGAAGTAAATTCTTATTTAATAAATCACTAATATTTCCTACAAAAAAGATATTAATCATTTATTGTTAATTTAATACATGAAATTTTTTTTTTTATTTCCATATATCATCCAACGCTTCATATCTTATGATGCTGAAATTTCAAATTTGAATTAAGCTAAGGTAGTCCTACTTCTTGTTTTAAATAATAGACTTTAAGCCTTTTTTTTAAATAGTTAATTCAAATTAATTCTAACTTATAAATATACAACTAAAAAATCAGAAAAATACAAGAAATTAGAATTTTCCACATCCATAAAGGAAATTAATCAGAAAACAATAAAAAAGAAGTATGATAATTTTGTATATTTAATTTTAAGTTGAAATTTCAATGCTTTATTTTTTGTCTTAAAAATTTTTGTTCAATTACCTGAAGAAAAGAAGAAAAAGGAACAAAAATAAAACAAATGATGAAATAAAATAGAAAATAGAAGAAGCTAAAATTTAATTTATATGTAAAATTTGGAAGAAAAAATTGAATTATGGAAGAAAATGATGCAAACGTATTGATTAACCACTTATATTATAAAAAAGTATATATTGTAGAGAAAAATTTAGATAAACAAATATCTTTGTGTACATAAATGGCTTGTGTTAATTTTTTCATTCATTTTTTTATTTTCATAAAACGGATGACATTTTGTTGCTATAACAAATTAAATGGAATGAGGACAATTGTTGATGCTAAAAAAAAAATTTCCACTTTGTTTCACATCTATTTTTAAATATATTTTAGTAAATTACTTTTCCACTTTTTTCTTTGGTTCTATAAAAATAGAAAAAATTTTTTGTTATATATGCAAAAAAAATTTTTTTTCAAATAGAATGAATTATTAAAAAAAAAATTGAAACTTATCTATTCAGATCTAACATTTATAAAATGTAAACAAAGAATGCTTTTTTTTCATTAATAGAACTTTTTATTTAATTCCCATTTAATTCCCATTTAATTCTCTTTATATCTGCTGAATTGAACTTTTATTATTTACGATATGATTATGATAGGAGAAGTAACACAAATCATATAATATCATTTTTTGAAATTGTATGAAAACCAAAAAAAAAAAAAAAAATGAAAATTCGCTCTATTTGGAAAAGTTTTTTGTATAAATTATATTAGTATTATTTAATATTGGCATTAACAATAATTTAAATTAGCAGAAAATATATTAGCACATATTAGTTTCATAATAAATTAACAATGAGTATTTGAAGAATTACTATAAAACATTGCAAGTTATCTTTCAAGCTTTTTCAATGAACAAAACAAACCGGAACCGGTTAAGTGATGATGATAAATGCATCATTAAAATAACTGTTGAATATATCATATATAGTTTTTTAATCCAAATATAGAAAATCATAATTACTTTTAAATAATAAATCGTAGTAGGCTAATATTTTTTTTAAAAAAAAAAGGAAAAATGAGAGTTTTAAACTTAGTAACAGCAATAATTTGAAATTAATAATACAGACACTCAAATTTGCGATAAAAAATTAATAGACATAAAAAAATGAATAATTAAACAATAAAATATGAATTAAAGTATTTACACTATTCCCAAGAAAAATGGTATAATAAAAGTTGACTTCAAATAAAACTTTTTTATCATCCAATTCTTTTTCATCATTAGTAAAATAACCATTTGCATTTATCTTCATTTTTAAAAAATTACTTATGATATTCAAAACAAGATGAAAAACAAGCTTAAAAAAATTAATTTTGTTCTAGGAACCAGAATTTTTTTTTTTTGCTTTTTAATAAATATTATTAAAATGATTCCTCCTATCATCCAAATTTTAATTCATTCCATTTTCTTTTCTATTTTTTAGATGTAAGATTTCTCTACCAAATCTGATTATCATTATCACTAGAATATTTTGTTATCAATGATTGTTTATCCTGAAAAAATTAAAAGACGAAAAAAAAATTGTTATAATAAAAGTGTACAGTTGTGCTCAAACAAGCTTTCAACTAATTCTCTTATTTCATTGACAAGTTTGCTCAGCTAAGTAATTTGGTGGTAAAATTTATATATATAAATAATGGAAGCAAAAATATTTTCAAATAAATAATTTAGTAAAAACAAAAGAAAAAAGTAATGAAGTAAAAAAAACTTTTTCTAGCACTTTTAATTTCTTTCGTTTCAAATTTTATTCTTTTTTTCTTTTTTAGATTTGTTTTTAATTTTTTCTTTTTACACTTATCTCAGAAATTTTTGAAAATTAAGACCATTTCAACGTGAATCATTTTTCACACTTAAATTTAATTTCAAACATCACTGTCAATA